ATATTTGCAAGTGCTCTGCCCCTCAATTTACCCACCCATGCAATGGTGAAGTCACCAGTTGTCCCTGGATGTATATTCTCCCCATGGTGATACAACCCTGGCTTCCTGGCTGGACACGCAACTTCCTAGAATGGAAGTTGTGTTTCCCTTAGGCCTTTTGCAACTGGTTCTGGTCATTTGACTAAGCTCAAGCTAATGGGATATACAGGGGGAGGGAGGGGGGTGGCATGTCATGTGACACCTTCTGGGAACTTTCTTTAAAAGAGAGTTGTTGCAGATCCTTTGTGCTCTTCATCCTTTTCTCCATCCCAACACATGTAATGTATATGTGGTGGCTGGAGTTCTAGCCCCTATTCTGAAGCACAAGGAAAAAAGCCATATCCAGAGGTTGCTTGGTCAGTGAGTAGAAGGAGCCCATATGGGAAGTTTTTGTGGAACAGAGCTGCCATATCAGCCCATGACTGTCTTCCCTGAGGCTTATATATGGACTTTCTGGTATCCAGGTCAGAATTCTGATCCCACCTGGTACAGAATTCTTTCCCCCTTTAAAGCAAATGTTTTGTCCTTGGTCCTTGTTTTATATGTTTTGAGTGATCCTTTCCCATGACTTTATTCAAAATTATGGGTCCTTTCTGAGGACTCTTGAAACTGTCTCATGGCTAGGAGTGTAGCCCAGGGGAAGAATGCTGACCTAGCATACATGAGGTCCTGGGTTGGATTCTTAGCACTGCAAGACAAAACAACAAAAATCATCTCTTTGGCCCAGCCCTCTTTCCTGAACTCCTGCCCAATATATCCAAACCCTCCAATTGATATATCCAACTAGTTATTCATTCAATAAACATCTACTGGGCACCTATGGAATGTGTCAGGCTGTGTTGGATGAACTCAAGGAGTCCAGATGAGAAATAGGCAGGTAAATAGGTACTGGATACAATGAAGTCCCTAGAAAGGGCTGCTATCCATGCTGGATAGTAAGGAATCTGTGGGTAGGTTTCCTGGCAGCAGGGGCACTGAACTTGCCCAGAAAGACAAGTAGGAGTTAGCACGCAGATGGCTACCAGAAAGCTTGAGTGGACTTATTCTCAGGGAAGTGGTTAGCCCTGGATGATTCTAAGCAGGAATGACTAGTTGGAAATGTGTTTCTGAAGGGCTGCTGTCACTACCAGGCGGAGAAAGGCTAGCAGGAAGTGAGACTGGATGGGATGGGAAGCACAGAGGAGCTGATGAAGCAATGGGAGGCCAGAGATAAGGGAGAGGCAGAGGAGTGGAGAGAAGTGGGCAGGTCCTAGTGATATTTAAGAGGTAGTGTGGCAGGGCCTGGGTGCTGGACTGGTTGGGGCAGCAAACAAGCTGCGGGTGACTCCCAGGTTACTGGCTCCAGCTTGAGGCAAGGACACAGGAGGCAGTGATATGGAAGCTCTGTTTGGGGCAAGTTATTGTTTGGGGATTCACAAAAGAGGAACTTGGTAGAATTGAACCAAGAGTTTTGATGAGCTCAAAACTCATCAAAAGGGAAAGGTGAGGGCCAGAGTTCCCAACAATCACGGCCACCTCCTCCTGTTGGGTTCCCTCCATTTCATCTCTGCCCCAGCTAGGAGTTTTCTGCCACCTGCTGACAGAGAGCTTCTCCAAACACGAATGCCATCCGATCCCAGCACTCTGCTAAACTTCCTCCTGGTCCCGCTACCCCAACCCAGCAGCAGGCTAAACTCCTGGGCCATGCAAGGCTTTTCTTTTTCCCTGGGCCTTGGCCTCCTGTGCTTGCCTCTCCCTGGAAGGCACCGCGCCTACACTTCAGGGAGGTGGCGCTCTTGCTCCCTGCAGGCCGAGATGGAGTGGCGTTAAGGGGTTTGAGAAACCAATGGTACCCTTCAGGCCCACATAAGGGATCCAAGGCGTGGCTTGAAGGATTTTGGGGTACTCTAGGCAGACGAGGTTCGGGCGCCGGGGGCGTGACGCGGCCCAGCCCCACCGCAGGAACCCTCCCAAGCCACCACCCTCCATGGCTCCGCCCCTCCAGAAGTGGGCGGGATGCTCGGGTTCTGATTGGACGGCTCTGGAGGGGGGGCCGCGGCACGGCCAATGAGCGCGGGCCGGGCGCGGCAGCGGGCGGGGGAGCGAGCGCTGCCTGGAACCACGGCGCCGGCGATCTGAGCTCGGCGATCCGGGCTCCGGCTAGGCGGGCGGGGCGGAGAGCAGCGCGCGCCGCGGGAGCGAGCGTGGTGCCCGCCAGGCTGCGGAGACTGTCGCCGCGCCAAGGTAAGGGTCCGCGGGGAGGAGACCCGGGGCCGGAAACTGGAGTACGAACTCCAGAACCGTCATCTGCTCCAAGCCTGCTGGGGAGAGGGGTGGTCTGCGATGCCGCGTCTCTGAGGGCAGCCGGAACCTTGTCAGTGCAGGGATTCTCCCCCTGTCTGCGGGGCCGGGTCTACGGGATATTTCCCGGAATCTGCTTCGTCTGAGTTGGCAGCTAGGACCGCATCTATTCGGGCGCCTTGCAATGTGCGTCCCTTCCCCAGCTCCTGTCTTTGGGACTGTGTCCATCCCCCAGCGCCCCGTGCGCCCCACCCCGGCCCTTGGTGGAGGCCGTGTCCATGAGGAGTGGGCCCGGGCGGGTGCACCCACGTGTGGATCTCCGCTGAGCACTCCTCCCACGGCCCTCCCGGGAGTCTTCCTTCGAGGGCTGGGGGTGGGGGTGATGAATGGGACGGATGCGGCGTGCGGCTTTAGCTGCGCAGTCTTCCCCTGGCTGGGGGCGGGGAGGGGGCGGTGGAGGTGGCGCTGCGGCTTCTGGGGCCCAACGGGCACAGGACTGGTGGCTCGGAGGGTGCACACGTGCGCAGGGAGCTGTGTGTGGTGTTTGGGGGCGGGAGTGCGCGTGTCACGTGGACACAGGAGTGTGCCTGTGTGTGAGGGGAATGCATTTCGGGATGGAGTGGCGTGTGAGCATGGGTCACGCGGACATGGACTCCGCCTGTCAAGGGAGGAGTGTGTGTGCGACTCGAGGAGGGTGTTGCAGGAGTATGCAGAGGGTATGTCACAGGCCACAGGTCCCAGGACTGTGCCTTAATGGGTAGTCCCAAGCTGCGCATTGAGCAGATGGACTCAGCTCAGGATGTGGGAGAAGACACAGCTGTGTCCTTAAGCATCTCAGGGAAGAGACCCTGACCTTCCCCGCAGCCCCGCCTCCTGCATTCAGCTCATACAGTTGAGCACCTACTGTGTGCCAGACTGTCCTACAGCTACACACTTTGGGGACCCTCTGCCTGCCTGCTCCTTGGTCTCCTACCCTCAGTCCTCACCGCAGCCAGTCATTTTAAACCTTGTCCAACTGAATCACTCTCCTGTTCAAAATTCTCCTCTGGCTTTAGAGGCCTCCTGGTCAATGTTCACAGAACCCTGTGTCACCCAGAAACCAAACTCTGAAGGTACCTGGGAAAGGGCTCTTTGTTATACACAGTATGAACTCCCATCCTCTCTACCTCCTGAAATCCTACTTGGTGGTCACAAAGGAGTTTCACCTCCTCCAGGAAGCCATCTCTGAGGCCAGCACAATGGACTGGGCCTTCTCTCCAGATGTAACTCCACTATCTTATTTCTCCACTCCAGCCATGTCAGCCTCCTTGCTGTTCCTCAAACAGCAAGCACTGTCCCACCTCATGGCATTTGCTCTTGTTGGTCAGTCCCTCTGCCTGAATTGCTCTTCCCAGATGACCACACTGTTCACTCCCTTATGTCTTCAGGTGTCTCTTCAAACCCACTGGGAGTCCTTCCTGAACTACACTGAATTAGCAGCATCTTTCAACCCCTTATTCTTAATCTCCCTTACTGACATAGCTGTCTTTATGTGCATACCTCTTGACCTATCATATATTAGTTACTGACTTTCTTTTTTGGCACTGCTGGGATTTGAACTCAGGGCCTTGGACTTGCTAGGCAGATGCTCTACCACTTGAGCTATGCCCCCCAGCCCTTTTTGTTTTAGTTATTATTCAGGATTGGCTCTCTCATTTTTATCTGGGGCCCCAGCCTCAGACCTATATCTTCCTACTTATGCCTTCTTTACAGCTGGGATTGCAGGCACGTTGGTTGAGATGGAGTCACATACTAACATTTTGCCTGAGCTAGCCTTGAAATGTGATCCTCCTGATCTTTGCCTCTCAAGTAGCTAGAGTTATAGGTATGAACTACTGCCCCCAGCCTAGTTAACTGGCTTTCTTATTCATTGCTTCCTGCCTTTACTAGAAATTACTCTGTGTGAGAGCAGAGACTTTGTCTTTTTGGTCCATTGCTCTATCTCCCAGCTTCTAGCACAGTGCCTGACATGAAGCATATGCTTGATAAACAGTTGAGGTTGCATGAATGAATAACTCAGATTTGCATCCCATAGTCAATGTCCATTTGTTCTCCAGCCTGCAAGGCCCTTGTCTGAGGCTAGGTTTCCTGCTCCTCTGTCCCCCAGATTCCATGCTCAGGAGAACTCTGACCATATTTGCATGTTGGCAAATCCTCTTAGGAGCAACTGGGTAGAGGGTGGGGGATGTAGGGAAATCCTGGAAGCAGTGAAAGGACAGTAGTCAGAATCTGGCTTTTTTCTTTTTTTCTTTTTTTGAACCTGGACTTTATAAGGGGTTCACTTTGTGAGCTCTCTTAGCCAGCAGTAGGGAGATCAGAGGAGGCGATGTCTGCGCTGCCCTCCAGGCAGCAAAGCAGAGGGAGATATGTGCCTGGCAGTAGGCACAGCTTGTACAAAGGCCTGGCAACAGAACAGAATCTGCAGTTTGGGAAGCTTCAAGTAATGTGGTGCAGTGGGAATGGAGAGTAGGTGGGGCAGGGGAGTGAGGGTAGGCAAGAGGAATAGGATCCTTTTGGCCATGGTCCAATAAGAACTGGGAGGATGCAGTTCCACCTCTGTAATGGAGACAGAGGAAGAAGAGCACTTTGGGAGAAGATGTTGAGTTGGACTGGACCCTGTTGGAGCTGAGCCGCCCAGGAACACGGAGGGGAGGGGGAAGCTAGGTGGAAAGAATAAAACTGGAGGCACAGATCTGGTGTAGAGAATGATGTGGGGCAGAGGTAGAGGATGAGGCCTGGGGATGTCAGCCTCCATGGGTGGCCCAAGGGATGCCCTTAGGGCAGCTGTAGCAGTTTGGTACTTGGGGCTCCCCAGGGAGGGGGTGGAAGGAGAGGGTGTCCTCCCAGCAGACATCTTTAAGTATGACTTGGCACTAGACTCCTGGGCCTCCCTCTAGGGGATTGAGTCATCCCAGGAGGGGGCGAGAGCTGCAGAGGGCACCTCTGCCAGAGTGTCAGACACTGTCAGGAGTATATAAACAGGCTATGGTGAGGTGGCCCAGGGATGTCAGGACCACTTCTGTGTCTCGCCCAGGTAGCCAACTTGCAGCTTTCCCTTCTTGGAAGTCCTCTGCTGGTCAGAGCTGCTTGTCCTCTGCCTGGAAGGTAGTTGGTCCCCTGACTTAGCCTGGTGCTGAAGCATCCTTTCAGAACTCAGAATGAGACCTGAAGTCACCTATGACTTATGTGGTTTCTGAAGCCAGGAGCTTATATACTTGGAAGTGGAAGACACTTGGTGGGGTACGGCACAGTCTGTGTAGAGAAGCCTGTGCCAGGCCATTTCCAAGCCAGGTGGCCCATGTGGGTTGTACTTTGCACATCAGGGCTCTCTCTGAGTGGCTTTCAGATGCACACATATCCCAGCTGCACATCACTCAAGCACAAGCTGCATCTATGTCCACAACCTCATCCACTTCCTTCCACAGCCCTGGGAGAAGACGGGATGTTAGCCATCTGTTTGATTCATCCCTGAGGAAGCTGAGGCTCCTAGAAGCTCAACATCCTGCCCAGGTGCACAGTCCTGCCTGGGAGGGCAGGACTCAAACTTCGAAAAGTGAGGGAGGCCTGTGTCTGGAGCCACACACTAGCCAGTCCCTGGGAGATGCCCTAGGCCTACAGAAGCCGTTACTATGCCCTGAGCCTGGGACCAACCTGTCTGTCCATTTTTCTGTTTGCCCCTGTGTCCCCTAGTTACCTGCCAGTCAGTTTCTACATAACTGTCTAGTGAGGCATCAGCTTGGAAAGGGCCTTGAGAGACCCCTTGGGTGACCCCCTCCAGAGGATTGGGCTCTCAGACCAGTCTGGCAGGCAGACTCACCTCACCTTGGTGGGACAGGTGATTGTACAGGAAGTCTAGACTTGACTTCTGGGATTTGACTCTCATGGCCCCAGGAGGTGCATCCCTCCCTGTCCTGGGACACATGTACATGCTGCCTAAAGGCACACAAGTGCACACAAGACTGTGCACACAGAAAGAGCACATGGGGAGCTTTTTGTCTCACACAGATGCGCTCCTAGGTGCAAATCCACAACACACACAGACACAGTGTGCTCAGCTCCCAGCCATGCTCCAACACATTCTCTTACACTCAGACTCACGCCCTCACACGCACAGCCTTGGGCTCCTGGTCCTGTCGCCTGCCACGCTCAGATGCACGCCCTCACATGCACAGCCTCGGGCTCCTAGTCCTGTCTCCTGGACACGCAGCAGGAACCTTGGGCCTCCCCTGCTGCCTCTCCCAACCTGCTTAGTCACCTGAATCTGATCCAGGCTGGGAGGAGGGAGGGAGGGATGAAGGGCCTGACGTCAGCCCTCACCGCCTAGCTCGCCTGCGCATCCATCTGGGTCCCAGCTTGTCCCAGGCGATCACAGCTCACTTCTGAGGAGTTTCCTCAGTGTTAGGCCCTGTTCTGAGTTCTTAATGAGGTCCACTCCTTTACACCTCTCAACCACCTGGGGAGTAAGCCCCGCTGTTTTGCTCCCTTTTGCAGATGAGGAAAGCCCAAGGTGCAGAAGTGGAGTCATCTGCTCACAGGCTTACAGCCTGTTTTGTTCCCTTTTGCAGATGAGGAAAGCCCAAGGTGCAGAAGTGGAGTCATCTGCTCACAGGCTTACAGCCTGGCATGGCAGCCTGGCTTCAGAGCCTGGTCATTAAACCAGGTAACAGGGGCCCAGGCTGGAGCAGGAAGGCTTCAGGCCCCCACCTGTCCCTTGCTGGACCTCATTTTGCCCATCTGAAAACAGGATGGGAAGGGAGCTAAAGGAGAGCCGCCTCTCATGAGGCTGGCAACCTCAGGGAAATCATATACATTTTATGGGCCAGGGCAGCCCTCAGTCCCTTAGTCGCTGCCTGGGACCAGAAGGCAGGAGCTTCTGCCCTCTGAGACCTGAGTCTTGTCAGGGTTCCCTTATTGAATCAGTTTTCCCACTGGTCTGATGGGAAGAGCTGTAGTCATACTGTGGTACTGTTCTCTCATTCAATAGATTATTTATCGAGCTTACTATGTGCCAGCTGCTTCTGCAGACATCAGCGATCTTATGGAGAGACAAGGCAGAAGGAGCCCTGATCTTGGGGAACTTACCTTCTGGTGGAGAAACCAGGCCTGCAGGAAGAGGGGGAAGGGCATCAAGAGAGGACTCAGCCAAGCTTGGAGGCCTGGTCCTCCTGGGCTTCCTGCCTGCAAGCTGTCTGGTTTTCCAAGCCTCCCGGTGCCTACTCCCCTCCCTCAACATCTCCAGAGAGGCCTCCTTGTGGCTCCAGCCCTACTCCCCTCCCACATCTCCTCTAGGGAGACCTCCCCAGCTCTACTTCCCTCTCTCACCTCCTCCAGGGAGGCCTCCTTGTGCTCCAGCCTCACAACCCCCACACAATTCTAGGTCCAGCAACATGTCTTCCCCTAATGCCAGGCTGGCTCTCCCTCCCTCTTTCTTTCTGCCTGTCGGCAGCAGCTCTGCTGTCTTTAGGCTCTCTCACTCATTCAGTACTCTGGATGCCAGGCAGAGACTCTGAATCACATCTTCACCCACAGTCCATCCAGCCTGGTTATGGCCTGGGCAGTCTGGGAAAGTCTGGCATCCATGGGCATAGAAGGGGAGACTGAGGCTCATGGGAGGGAGCTTGCCCAGGGGCAGAACTGGAACCCAGCCCAGGCTCCATCATGGACAGTGCAGTCCAGCCAGTCCTGCCTTCTTGACATCTGTCACAGCAACAGATCGGGAGTGAGGGTTGGAATAAGCATGAATGACACCCAGGAGACCCATGTTCTCAAAGTCACAGTGTGGAGTCAGTAATCACCAACAGACAGGAAGGGCAGAGAGTCAGGAGTCCACCAACTTTATCTTCCTGAGAAGAGAAATGTGGCCCAGGAAGGAGGAGGCACTGGGCTGGGAGGTGGGGCAGCATGTCACTAGGGGTAGAGATGAGTCCCAGTGTGAGAGTCAGGGTATAGCCAAGGGCATGGCTGGAATTGAGTGTTGGGGCTGAAGCTGGAGGTTGCTTTGGGGCTCAAACTGGGGCTACTGCTTGGCCTGGGACCCGGTTTGCTTTGCAGTAGGTTCAGGGTGGGTATGAGATCAGACTGGGATGTTTCTTAGCCTGAGAAAATTGTGGTGAACACTTTGGCATATGAACAAACTGGAAGGAAAAATGAGGTGACATAAAGAATGACTGTTTGGTGCACTGAAGTCTTGCTTGATAACCCCGGGAGGTGGTGCTTCCTCCTCTAATGGACCTGTCCTTGGCTTGGGAGGAACATTCAGGAGGCTTCCCTGATGGTGGAGGCTGGGTGGCAGCACCAGGGCTGCTTCTGTATGATCAGCACGCAGTCCACTTCCAGAAGGTCACACTAGAATACTAACACTTGGCCATCAAGGGGTGGGACTGAGTGAGTCACTAGTCAGGCAGTGATTTGCGGGGGCTAAGCTGACCCTGGACTCTCAGTGCTTCTGGGCTCCCAGTCTATCTGTCCTTACTCCAGAACACCAGATTCTCTTTGCTTCCTTCTGAAGCCAGCATGGCCGAAGTGACTGTGCCTCTTTTATAGGTGGGGACACCAAGTGCTAGAGGACTGGCATGCAGCTGAACCAGACAAGGTCCTGGAATTCTTTGTTAGTTAGGACAAACTTAAGATTGGGTCCTGGCATCCCGGGTAGAGGGAACAGCCAGGACAAAGGCAAGGAGGCAGGACCCTCTATATTGTGCCTGTAGTGGGAGCAGGGCTGAGTTCTGACCCCCTTGCCTGACATATAGGAATGACACCCTCTCTACCATGTCCTAGGTTCCCAGCACAGTTACACAGAGGATTCCCTACCAAGGCGATGGAAGGGGGCCCGGCTGTCTGCTACCAGGACCCTCGAGCAGAGCTGGTAGAGCGGGTGGCGGCCATCAACGTGGCCCACTTCAAAGAGGCAGGTGGAAGCCCAGAACCTACCAGGAACGGTGTAGAACCTCGGCCCCGGGCCAGAGCTGCCTCTGTGATCCCTGGCGGTGCTTCGAGACCTTCCCCAGTGCGGCCCAGCCTCTCAGCAAGAAAGTTGTCTCTGCAGGAGCGGCCAGCAGGAAGCTGCCTGGAGGCCCAGGCTGGGCCTTATGCAACAGGCCCTGCCAGCCACATCCCCCCGCAGGCTTGGCGGAGGCCCACCATTGAGTCCCACCACGTGGCCATCTCAGACACAGAGGTTGGTGGGGCAGAGTTAGGGGTTGCTCATGAGCCCCCCAAGAGGCCTACATGGAGATCCACTTTTGCCCGTATCTATGCCACATAGTTATCTAGACTTGGTTTGCATACCCTCAGAGCTGAGGAGCTTGCTAACTAACAGTGTGGCTTCATCCTACCCACAGAAACTCCATCTCAGCCAAAGACTGCCTCTTATGAGTCCTGCCAGGCCTAGGAAACAGATCCTTTCCTTGTCCCTAAACATGCTCTTAGAGATTTGAAAATAGATCATGTGTACCCCCATCTTAAGTCTTTTCCAACTTGAGCCCCTTTCCTTCCCCCATAATCTTCCTCTTTGAGTCTACTCTGATTCAGGCATTGCAGCATGCTTCCAGCCTCTGGGTACCTGTGGGTCCTGTCCTTGCTGCTTGGATCTGAACATGAACTTGGGAACCAAGCAGTCTGCAGATGGCAGAGGCTGAGCTGTTTGTGTTCAACCCAACATTTTCAGTCTCCTGTCCCCAGACCTCCCTTATCTCTCTTGTCCCAGCAGCTAGTCCTTCTCATTCAGCTGCTTCTGGAAATACTTGCTAAGAGGTTTTTCACAGCTTGGGGTCTCCTTGACCTCCCAAGTCCAGGCAGGAATTAGTGTATTTTTCCTTAGCCACTTAGGTAGCACAGCATAACCAGGGTCTCACATTTGCACACATTATTCAAGACTTCTCAGGTGGCAATGGGACCTCTAATCTTCCCCATCCAAACTTGAAAGGTTGAGACCCACGGGTCTGGGAATTAAGGCCTGGGGCCAGGGCTGGTCCTTGAACAGGCTCTGCTGTGGCAGCAGTGTTGCCTCTGGATCAAGCTGTACCTGATGCTCCTTCTTCCCGCCCCCAGGACTGTGTGCAGCTGAACCAGTACAAGCTGCAAAGTGAGATTGGCAAGGTACGATTGAGAAAAGGGCAACCAGGACAAGACAAAGCCTAGACAAGAGTGATGGGGGCAGTAGGGTCCTTGGCAGCTTCCTTTTACTGTGGTGGGAATGGGAATTAGAGAGAGGAATGCCCTAGCCTGAGTGTGGACTGCTTTGTTCTCTGTGAGAAATACCCAGCGGGGGAGACTGGAGATTACTCCTGATTCTTGACTGTCCAGGTTCTGGATGGAGACCAGGAGGAACTGAAGCATGGCAGGTCCCAAAGCAAAGGAGCCCTCTCCCCATCTGCTGGAAATGTGTGCCCACACAGCTGGTGGGGTGGGGTGGGGTGGGGATGGGATGCAAGGGCAGGGATCAGATCTGTCAGGTTGGAGAATGTGCCCTGTCCAGGTGGAACTAACCAGTACCTGTCTACAGGGTGCCTATGGTGTGGTGAGGCTGGCTTACAACGAAAGTGAAGACAGACACTATGTGAGTCTGGGGGTAAGAGAGGGGTGTTGCTAAGCCTGACCCCAGAAGCCTGTGGGGTGGGCAGAATTCTTGGGGCAATGAGGCCTGGGCTGCCTCTTAAGGGAGCAGGCTCCTGTCATTGGGGATATAGCAAGCAGAGGCTAGCTTCATCTGCTTGGAGAGCAGGGGGAAGGCCTAGACTCAGTATGGCCAACCCTAACCAGCCTAATGCATACCTGACTTACACACTCAGTGCCAGAGGCAGATGCCTAGTGTGCCTTTCTAGACCTCCGCCCCCATAGAACCAGTCTGTTCTAGCTCCTGGTGGCTGTACACATGTGACATTTCTGTTCCTCTTTCCTTAGGCAATGAAAGTTCTTTCCAAAAAGAAGTTACTGAAGCAGTATGGCTTTCCTCGTATGTATCTAACTGCCTTGTCCTCCTTCTAGTCTGGGGGCAGAGAAGGAGGAGGACCAGGTCTCCAGCTAGTTTGGGTAGTAGGGGAAGCAAAGTCTGGGGATGGGGATGGAAAGTGCTTGGTGGACTGGGACAAGATTGCATTCTTGGAAGAGTCTTGCTTGAGACTGGTTGCAGGCCATGGAAAGGCCCAGCTCCTGGAACAGGAGCTTGACTTGCTTCCTGGTCACAGGTCGCCCTCCCCCAAGAGGTTCCCAGGTTGCCCAGGGAGGGCCAGCCAAGCAGCTATTGCCCCTGGAGCGGGTATACCAGGAGATTGCTATCCTGAAGAAGCTGGACCATGTGAATGTGGTCAAACTGATTGAGGTAGGAAGTGGTGGAGAGCAGGCAGAAACCAATGTGCTTTGGGTCTGGTATGGGGGTGGCACTCGGCACAGACCAGGTATCCTGCCGAGGGAGAAGGTATGGCTGAGGCCCCCAGGACAAATCAGACTTGGGAGGGGCTACAGGGATACATGGGAGCAGTTTAGACTGGTCTGGGTTGTTCTCAAAAGTGAGCACTTCCTCTAAGCAGGAGGTAAGAAGGCCAAATGCCACCAAGCCAGGGCTGGGGTTGTTGACTGCTGAGGCACTGTTTCCATCTGGCACCTGAACAGTTCCTAGTTCATGGCTGGGTTGGCTATGAAACACAAGAGAGGTCTTGGGGTGGCAAGAATAGGAGTTCTAGGCCCCCCCCACTAATGCCTTCTCAAGCTCCAACCCCGTGTCTACTCCTCTGACCTCCAGGTACTGGATGATCCAGCTGAGGACAATCTCTATTTGGGTGAGTGACTCAGCTCATTCCCACTGATGATGATGATTACAACATAAGATGTGATAACAATGGTGTCACAATAGGGTAATGTCAGGAGGAAATAAGTATCATATGTAGAACGTATTATTTAATATCCTTGTTAATAGTGATGTTATTCAAGTTTCATGTCTGCTTTAGGGCTGGCTTGGTAGCTACAAAAAGCGGGGCAGAAGGCAAACCAGCTTAGAAACTAGAGGTCAAGGCTTTAGTCTTCACTCCCTATGCTGCCTGTCTATCTGTTATGACCTTTAGGAAAATATCTGCTTTTTTTGAGCCTGTTTCCTCTATAAAAGGGTTCCATGCTGATGGTCTCATTTGGCACATGAGGATGTGGCAAGGCAGGTCCCTAGCAGTCCCTACTCTCATCCAGTTACTTCGTCTGATAACCTGATTCCCTTGTCCTGTCCCTCCCTGAGTATGCCTGCATGCCTCCCCATCATTTCACATCCCAGAGTAAGGAGGGACATAGACATTGAATGCTTTGCCAGTCGGGTTACACCTTACCTTCTTTTCGTTTCTTTCAGTGTTTGACCTCCTGAGAAAGGGGTGAGTTCCCTGTCCTGATCAGGCAGGACACTGTAATTCAGATCTCCCTTTCCCTTTCTGTGTCCACTGTAGAAGAAATCAGAGTCCTAGACCCTGCATTTGGAAACTCTAGTCTCTGGGGTAAATAAGAGACCAAGGACCATTCTCTGAAGGCTGGTGGGAGTTGTTGAGGCTGGAAGAATCAGGGAGGCCTCCAGAAGAAGGGGAGGGAGGTAAGCCAGGCATTGAAAAACTGGGAAGATTATTTGGATGGAAGAGGAAGAATAAAGGAGTGTTTTCAGGCAAAAGTGTAGAGGTGGGACTCAACACTTACTGTGTATTCAAATCACAAAGAGTTCTTTCAGCTTTACTAATGGAGTGGGTAAGACTCCATTCTCTCCCATTTATGAGTGCGAAAGCTGAGGATCCAAGGGTAAATGGATTGCTCAAGGTCACATAGCAAATTTCTGATAGAGCCTGGTGTTTTAAGACAGGTCTGCTCTGTTTGAGTTTTCAGAGTATTTGCTCTCAAATACTCATGGAGTAGAGATCACCAGCCTGGGTGGACTGGAGACCCTTACTATGAAACCTTAAATGTAGGCTGTGGCTTGTGGCTGCTTGGGGACTTTTCTAAAGTCCAATTTGGGGAAGGGCCAGGAAGTGGTATCCCTTTAAGACCCAGGGGCTTTCAAACATTTTTGCCTCCATTCAAAACAAATAGAGGTTTATATTGCTATCTGTGTCTGTAACGGAAAGTTTTATGGAACAGGATATATTTTTATTACTACGGTTGCCACCCAGTAAATTGATTTCATGACTGTTGGGGATCTGGTTCCACAGTCTGAAAAAACACTGCTTTAAATGGCATCTTTGCAATTATTTGTTTATAGATAAATACTTAGAAGAAATACAAGCCAACGGAAATAAAGATAAAGCTGATTTGAATTATGATTGAATTGTGGTATTTGTATCCATATGTTTTTAAGTTTTCATTACATGGGAGAAGAAGCTGGTATCTTGGGGTCGGTGAGCACATCTCCCTGGAGGACTTGAATGGCCCGCGCCAGGCCTTCCCCTCCCCCTCCACCACCGCCATGGCCACTGCCACCTCTGCTCATCAGATCCCAGCTGAACACCCTTCCTTCCTCCTTCCCTGTAGGCCAGTCATGGAAGTACCCTGCGATAAGCCCTTCCCTGAGGAGCAAGCTCGCCTCTACCTGCGGGACATCATTTTGGGCCTCGAATACTGTAAGTGAGGAGTTTCCTTGCCTTCTGAGAGTCAGGCTAGGGGATCAGGAGCCCGCCAAACCTAGGCTGAGCAGGCCCCAGACATTTCTGTCCGTCAGCGCTGACCTGCCAATCAGTTTTAGGGGAGGCGGGGCAAGGATAGGTGGGTGCGGCCTGAGCAGGCTTCACTGGGCATGTGCTAGGTCCATCGCCGTCTCTGGTCCTCACAGCGTCTGGACTGTTCTGCCCCTATCTTTCTTCTGCTGAGTTCTTCGCCAAGCTTAGCCTCTCCACAGTGCTCAAGAGATGTGGGATAGACAGGCTGTATGCGGCTGTTTGGGAGAGACTGTCCTGGCATGGCACCGTGGGTGATGGCAGGGTGGGTTTTCAGTAAGCTGAGGAGAGCTCAGAGGGAAGAATGCTTGTGTAGCTCTGTCTGAAATTTATTTAGTCATTTGCTTATATATTTCATTCATTCCTCTCATTCATTTATGAGTACCTGGCTCTGGGCACAACACATGACAGAGACGCTAACCTGACCCTAATCTTACAGCCTAGGAATGGCAGGAATCTAAGCAGGCAGATAATATGATGTGGTGCTTGCCAAGACTTTGAAGGCACAGGGGCCAGGGGAGGTTTTCTGAAAGAGACCATCTGTGACGAGAGTTCTGAAGGACCAAGGTCCTAACCAAGTTCATTGATGGTGGTGGGAGCCAGTGCCAGACACAGGCAAGAGGGCAGTGGAGCCGTCATGTTTGAGGATGGAGAACAGTTAAATCTAGTTGAAGCATCCAGTGGGCAGGGTGTGGGGGTGGGGGTGTTGGAGGGTTATGCTTAATGCACTGTAGGGTTAGAAACTGTGTCTAGGCCACACCACCAGGTCTGGGAATGCCTCCACAGAGGACTTTCATGACTGCATCCTGTCGGCATTATGAGGCCCTGAGGGTTTTGAGCGAGGGGTGTGGTGGGATTTGGTCTTCATCTGTCTTTGTCTTCAGAAGCTTTGTCTGGCAGCTGTGTGGTGGCTGGATAAAGGGTGAGAGATGGCCAGCTGGTCAGGGAGGAGGCTATTTCTACAACCCAAGTGACAGATGGTGAGGCCAAGATTAGAGCAGTGGGGAGAAATGTGAACGAGGTGGAGTGGCCAGCACAGGGTAACTGGTATTAGGGGGAGGAGGGCCCCCAAACACCTATGATTGTGGCCTGGGTTGGGGCCAAATGTGCTCCCTATCTCTCTAAAATCTTAGCTTGGTTTGTTTGGAGTGGATTCTCCCTAGTGGAGCAGGATGGGGACCTAGCTGAGGTGTGACCTGCAGTGACAGGAACAGGACTGCCTTTATCCTGATAGAGCTTCTTCAGTACATTCAGATTAATGATCTCTTCGCACATATAAGAAAAATGAGGCATGCAGAGGGGAAGGCTTTGCACATAATTCCTAGCAAGGACCTAGAGGTGTAAGGTGGAAGATTTTACCCTGGGTATGGTCAGTGGCAGGCACAATCCTGCTGGTGTACGGCTCTACATCCTTCTGCTCATTTCCTAAGGACCTGGTGTCTGCCATCCTCTATCCCTGACAAAAGCAAGCTAATCTTATGGGTTCTTGGCTAAAGCTTCTTCAGGACTCAGCTGATCACAGTGAAGGGGCTCCCCGGAATGGGTAGTTAGTACCAGGGGCTGGACAGGTGAATAAACAGAGGCACTGGGGAACCAAAGACCTGCCTTGTGATTCAGCCCCAAGAAGGAAGAGTCGAGGCTGCCCCGAGAGTGCTCTATGTTTAGAGAGGCCCAGGCTTGATTCTCAGATGGGGACAGGTGCATCAAGGCAGGCAATGAGATGCAGTTGGATCTGAAATGTACATATTTCTCCCTCCCTTCCTCCGTTCTTCTCTCCCTCCCTTCCTTCTGTCCTTTCTTCCTTCCCTTCCTTCCTTTCCTTTCTTGTCTTGCTACATTACCCATGCTGACCTTAAACTCCCAGTGCTCCCACCTCAACCTTCCAAGTAGTTGGGATTACAGGTATACACCATCATGCCTAGCTTGGAATATATTTTGCACTTGAGCTCCCAGGGCTACTTGATGTGAGATCTGAGAAGAGGAGGATGCTCTGAGGTTTCTGACAGCTAGTAGTATGTCTTTCAGGGAATGGGAAAAACATGTGGAACAGGAGTTTTCTGTTCCGTTTGCATGTTTGCATTTGTTGGTGGTGGTAGCTACAGGCAGAGAAGTCAAGTTATAAATTAAACATGTTATTGCAATATATTGAGATATATATTGATTTACCCATCCATCGTGATGTCTGTTGGGTATCTACATGGATAAAGAGCCTGGAGTTTGGGGCCAAGGCTGGAGTTTGAGAAAAGAATTTGAGACCACTTTCAAATGTGCAGCTCCCTGAACTTCTGTACTCTGATAGTTATGTGTCAAATCCCTGTGTGTGCCCAGCACATAGTAAGCAATAAGGGTCACTGGTTTTGTGGTTATTGGTGTGTGGCCCTTACTCCCTCTGCCCCCAGCCTTCCTGTCCTCCTCTGTTTCTTTTCCCTCCCTGCTCTCTTTCTGTCTTCCTCCCTACACAGCCTCCTGGGGTCTATTGGCCTTAGGGGACTTGCTGAAGAAAAAGCCCGCAAATAGATAGATAGGATTAGTGTCTTCCCTCAAGTTGGGACATCTCTGATAAACTTAGCTTGAGTGGCTCACTCCTTTCTGGCAGTGCTGGACTCAGGAGGCAGAGAAGGCTCCTAGCCTTCTAGGCCCTTTCTGATTCTGGCTTCATCTTACTAGAGATGGCTGACCCACACCCCTGCCATATTCATCCTGGTGGTGCCAAGGCCTCAAGTGCCCTCTGTTTCTGAAACCCCATCATCCCAGATCCCTAGGGCTGAGTAGTGCTTCTACAGGATACCATAGTTCTCACAATCCAAGCCTCAGTTCTAGAAGCAGGAATGTCTTTGACTAGGTTGGGTGAGGGAAAGGTTTGGATGGACTTTGGGCCACAGGCAGTACCTATGTAGAAGGGGCAGTCTATGGGTCTATGGGGAATCCCTTCCCCCAGTTTCCTCTGACCTCCTCCCTCAGCAACAGGTGCTGTGTTAATCATGGAGAGAGCATGTGGAGTCCAAAGACTCCTAAGATTCCTGTCATGGCTCTGCTGCTAACAGCCTGGGCTGAGCCTCATTGTTTTCACCTACATAGTGAGGCAGACAGCTCTGCTGTCCTCTTCTGAGATCCTCAAAAGTTGAGAGTGTGCATGGGCTTAGATGTGCCAGCTGACTTCCCCAGCTGGGCAAGGGCAGGTGAGAGGTCCTGGGCAGTGGTCCCCAGCCAGCACTCCAGTTGCTTTTCTCTGCAGTGCACTGCCAGAAGATCGTCCATAGGGACATCAAGCCATCCAACCTGCTCCTGGGGGATGATGGACATGTGAAGATTGCCGACTTTGGTGTCAGCAACCAGTTTGAGGGGAACGACGCTCAGCTGTCCAGCACAGCGGGGACCCCAGCATTCATGGCCCCTGAGGCCATTTCTGATTCTGGCCAGAGCTTCAGTGGAAAGGTGACTACCCAGGGTCTGGGCCAGGTTGGGATTGAAGTGGAGGGACAGAACAGCTTACAGCAAAGGCTAGTTTCCAAGCTGAGGGTACCAGGGTCCTTCTGTCTAGGGAAATGACATATTTACCCTTTCCTTGGAGCCTGACACACTTCCCAGCATTGGCCTCTTCTCATTTTCCAGCAAAATGGTCCCCTGCAGATATTGCTATCAGTTGCTCTGTGCTGGGCTGTGGAACAGGTGGAGCCAAACTGTCTGCTCCCTACCCCTTGGAGAACAGGGAAGATAGTAGCTAAAGTTGGAGCCCAGAAAATGTGCAAGAGGACCTGGTTTGGGTTTGGATGTTTGGGCTTCCTCTTCAGAGACAGGGGCAGTAGGCAAAGCCTCCTGAGTGAGGGCACTACAGCCAGTGGTTCCCTGGCCTACCTCTGTCATTCTCAACCCTGACAGTTTTGAAGACTACAAGCCTGTTCTATAGAATGTGACCGTTTGCCTGTATCTGGGGATCCCTGAGTGGATTCTAATGATGCAGCTGTGGTGGGACTGTGTAGGTGGAGATTTGAGAATCGCTCACATGAAAGAAGAGGTGGGGTCTGCAGGGGATGAAGAAGTGCACACATGAGGTTCCTGGCAGGCGAGCTGGAGCAGTCCTTGGGAGGAGTTGCAGCAGTGCATGGGAGTGGGTGAGCAGGGCCTTGCTGTGGGCAGGGGCTCTTCATTTCTGATGTTGGGAAGCAGGTGGCTTCTCCAGTGGATTGGAAGAAAAATGGATGGTCCCTTGAAGCCAGAGCTGGTTTATTGAGTATAAATTGAATATATACTTACCACTTTTGGGGCACATCTATGTCATAGAGGCAGCAAACATGATCCTGTGGATAAAGGAGTCTTTGTACCTGTTGACTTGAAAACACATCTGTTTTGGGTCTGTTCCTGGCAGGCAGGAGCTTTCTTCTAGTCATGCCTCCATTCCCAGTGCCCAGCACAGGGCCCAGCATGAAGCAAATACTTGGTAGTGTTTGTTGAGTGAATACATGATGGGAAGGAAGATTCCTGCAGGCCTCTTCCACAGTCCACTGGGGCTTGATGTGCAGAGGGGCAGCAGTGGTTACTGGGGGACTGATGTAAGCATATTTCTTTTTAGGCCTTGGATGTGTGGGCCACCGGGGTCACACTGTACTGCTTTATCTATGGGAAGGTGAGTGCTACAGGGCCCAGTAAGCCAGGCATGAGTGATGGATGCAGGTACTTCACTCTTTTGAAAGAGCCCACCTGGCTCAGAGAGGGCTGAAGGAGAAGAGGCTTTTTCTTTTTTCCTCATATCCCTTTGGGGATGGGAGGGAGCATTATGGAGTCCCAGGACAGCAGACATTCAAGAGGAGCAGTTGGTGGTGGTGTTGCCTTCTCTCCAGTCAGAGTGCTCCCTGTACCTCTGTTCTTTCATATCATTCATAATCATCCATAGATTCATTCACTTAATTGTTTATTCATTCAATAAACTGTCCTTTACTCCTGCTGTAGATCAGACTGGGCCGTGAGGGCATTCAGTTCTGACATGATCAAGATCCATACCCACAGATGCTTGGCTCTAGTGACCACACTGACAGCAGGAAGGGGATCTTGGTGAACACATTTCCAAACATAAGACCCTGGGAGGGGAGGCCTTATTCAGGCAGCTGCAGTGCTGGTGGGTGTAGCCAGCTTCATAATTCTCTTGGCAACACATTTGTCCAGTCACATTTGTTGCACCCCTGTGTGCCAGATGTTGAAAAAGTTAGATGACAGGTTCCCCTGTCATTTCCTGGGGAACCCTGAGCTGCTCGCTGTCACAGATTAGGTTCCTATACCCACATCCTCTGTCTGATTTCCACCCTGCAGTGCCCATTCATCGACGAGTACATACTGGCCCTGCACAGGAAGATCAAGAATGAGGCCGTGGTATTCCCTGAGGAGTGAGTTGTCTACACAGGGCACCAGGGGCTCTGACCACTCCTGGGGAGGAGTGAAATCAGCAGAACTTTTACACTTTGAGGGCCCCAACAGCCTGGAGATCTACATGTGGGGGTGCTGTTCCTTGGGAGGGGCCCTGGGCACATGGAGAGTGGGACTGTGGAGCTGAGGGTATTTGACATGACATGGGGGTCAGATCTCATTGGACAAATGGGATCTCTGAGGCCTAGAGTTGGACAGGGATGGCCCCAGGTCACACATTCACATCACAGCTTCACTGCAGGCCAGCCTGGAGTCAGGAGCACCAACTCCTTACAGCTCCTGGCCCCAAAGGGAATTTCTGCTTTCCCCACGTGGGATGGGAGTCTTCATTTTGCAGATGGACATGTGGATACCCCAGAGGACAGTTGCCAGTGGAGCTGAATTTGAAGCCCCCTCTCTTCCACTCCTCGCATTGTGACTGAGGGTCTCTGAGCCCAGGGGCTGCCTGGGGGGACCCTGATCATCCCTGTGTCTTTTGATGATGGTTTTTGGCTGCCATGGCAACAGCTAGGCTCCTAATTTTTAGGGCCCATCAGCTCGAGTGGCCAAGGAAGGACAGAAACTGGAGTTGTCCTCTTTGACTCCTGCCCTTTTGCACCCACTTCCTGTCTGGTTCCCAAGCCCTGTCGAATTGGGTGCCACATTGCCACCTGTACCCCTGCCTACTTTAGGCCTTAGCCCCTCTTCTCAGGCTTCTCTAGCCACTCCTCTCTGGCCTTCCTCTAGTCTAGCCAACACAATCAGGCCTGGCTGGCCTTTCTAAAGCACAGCAAATCTGACTGTCACTCCTGCTTAATACTGGCCAAGGCTATGTCCTGGCCATGGTGTTCAAGGGCCTCTGGGTTCTGCTCCCTGCTCATCTGCCACCTCAACACTCTACCCTGAGCACTATCCAACTGGATTAATTTCATTTCCTACTTATCCTTTAATTTCCTGCCTTCTTCCTGCTATCCCCCCAACCCTTACCAGTGACATCCTGCTCTCTAGTCCAGGAGTTTCAAAGACATTAAGCATCTAAGGCAGCAGAAAGGACCCATCTCAACAGTCCCAAGAGTGGGTTCTTCCTCCCCAGTTTTGGACATATGGGCTCTCATCAACACTGGTAGCAAAGAAGCCTAGATTTAGGCAGAGATGGTGGTGGCTGCTATGGGGCTGAGAGTGCTACTCTCCTCCCGAGTCTAGTACACCACTGAGTGATAGTGTACCAACCTGCTAACCTCCCTGGAATTCAGTTTCCTCTTATCAAATGAGAAGGGATCTTTCCTGGCCACCTGCAGGTAGAGGGAAAGGTAAGATGGTGAGTGGGAGTAAAGGTCCCTGGTGAAGTTTCTTCTCACATTATTCATGCCATCTCTGCCACCCAAGGGGTGTCCAGCTCCAATAGAACTCTGTGTCTATGACCTCTGCCCCAGAGGGACACTGTCAGGAAAACAGATCAGGTACTGGTTTTGAACTCTCTCCTGGCCTAGTATCTTGGGGGCCTTCTGCTCGTCCATCTGGGGAATGAGGGCTGACCCTGGGGTGGGGAGACAAGGGTCCTCATCAATGTACCCTCATCTCTTTCCTTCCACTCCTCTGTAGGCCAGAGGTCAGCGAGGAGCTCAAGGATTTGATCCTAAAGATGTTAGACAAGAATCCTGAAACAAGAATCGGGGTGCCAGACATCAAGGTCGGGAAATAGGAGGCCTTGGGCTGGGTTGGGCTGAGACATGGAAAACAGGCCTCAGTTTCCCCTTTCTGGAGAGATCTGCATTGGAATGTATGCATGTTGGGTTTGGGGCTTTGAACCCCCTCAAGTCATTGCTAGTGAGATGCCTGGAGTCCTTTGCTAATTGTGTGTCTTGTCTGCTTACGGTTTTGACCCCTCCTTCCCTCTGGCCTCCACAGTTGCATCCCTGGGTGACCAAGCATGGGGAGGAGCCCCTTCCCTCAGAAGAAGAGCACTGCAGTGTGGTGGAGGTGACCGAGGAAGAGGTGAAGAACTCAGTCAAGCTCATCCCTAGCTGGACCACAGTGGTAAGAGAACGAGGAGTGGAGGTCCCTTGTCCTGGGAGGGTGTTAGGAGGGTGTGTCCACTGCCTGAGACTTGTTCTGTGTCTGGCCCTGTTGGGGGGACAGAGGGCTCCCTGGTTATCCAGTGATACCTGCTCTGCTGGAAGACTGTGGAAAGAAGTCATGTTACTCAGCCTGGTGGTGGGGAGACTGGAGGCTTGGTGAGGATAGTGGCTGACTTAACAGAACACACTGGCCTTGCCAACCAGCAGCACTCACCATGGCTGGAAGAAGCAGTTCCTGCCTTCCACTTGTTCACTGGACTGCATTTCCCCAGGCACTGCATTGGTGCCCTGGCCATGACAGTGAAAGGCCCCAGAGGCCTTTGAATGGAGAAGCAGCTACAGAACCCCCAAGTGTTAATTAGACACTCACTCCACCAGGTGCCCTCTCAGGAACCAGAGCTGCCTGGCATGTCTGGGCATAAGGGGGTCTATGTTCCTCATGCTGATGTGTGCTCCCCAGATCCTGGTCAAGTCCATGCTGAGAAAGCGTTCCTTTGGAAACCCATTTGAGCCCCACGCACGCAGGGAAGAGCGGTCCATGTCTGCTCCAGGAAACTTAGTGACGTATGTACCGGTGGTCATGGCCTCTGGGCTGATCCCTGGGGTGGGTGGGCCAATTAGGCACGTCTTCCCCACTTTCAATATAGTGGGGATATCTCCAGAGCCTAGGGACACAGCCAGATCTGAGAGCAGGGCCCCATTTGTACCACTGTCCTAAAGACCAGTTAGAGGTATAAGGGACATTGCTGGGCCAGCCCTGCCCCATGCTGGGCCCAGCACCCCTCATGCATACATTATCAGAGCTAATGAGCTCACTTGGCCCTCCATGGGACAGGAAGACAAGGCCTTCCTCCTTATGGAAGGTTGATATTGTCACACTCTCCCACGGGGTCCAGGTAAGCCATCTGGCTTCAAATCTGCAGGTCCCTCTACCCTTGGCAGTCTGGCAGAAGTTTGCAGATAGGCTCCTGTCCACTATGTGTGGAAGGCTGGCTCATCCATGGAGGGATGGGCACTTTTGTCTACTTTCCCTGGTTCTGGGGTGGTTGTTGGTACATTCCTGAGTGGCTCCTGTCACCTTCAGCTGGCACTTTGTGGCTGGTTGTTCAGCAAATCCACATGGACAGGTTGGCTGACTGTGCCAGGGAAGAAGAACCTGTTTACTGAGGGCTCTCTACTATGAATTGTATCTGTGGGTTCACCACTTCCTAGGAGAGGCCAGAAAAGTTGTCCCCAATCACCATCAGCCTCGTCCTCGAATTTTCTGCTATAATAAAAGTCAGCTTGGGATGCCAACAAGGCCTGTTGGAGTTTGTGCACAGATCTGTAGAGAGAACCATGAGGTATGCTGGACCACAGTGTTCAGTGTGATGGTTATTTCCTCTGGCCTCTAAAGGGCACTGAAGAGAGGAGGTAGGCAGGTGCTGTGCCTCCCGGCCTGCTTTGTGATGAATGTGTTCTCCAGGAACGTGAGTGGAGACATTGTCTGGCCCAAGTCTTTCAGGAAGGAGTACTTTCACTTGTGTCCTTCCAGGAAATGTCCTCATAATGAGGAGTGGAGCATGGGATGGCCTGATAGGGAGCCGCATCTCTTCATGAGGGTTCCTTACCAGGTCTCAGAGCCTTGATACTAGAATTGTGCTTGGTATATTCAATTTGACAACAAAGGGGCCAATTCTAAAAAAGGGGAAGCTGTCAATAATTATGCCAGGACAGCAAGCAGAATCAGGAGTGTACCAGCAAGCTGGCCATCTGGTCACTTCAGCTCAATGCCTGTGGCCCATCACCCCCTAGTGGTGGGATGAGCAATCCACCCATTAAGAACTGTCTAGCCCCTAGTTTGTGCCTTGAAAACTAATTGTGCAAGATTAGGCTAAATTCTTTCTAGTCATAAAATTCTTTAGCTCTGTAACCCAAGTTTAATTTTTTTCTTTAATCTTTTAAATATAAGCTACTTTTATTAGCTTATATTAATTGTACAAAGTGGTTTCATTGTGACATTTCCACACATGCACACAATGCACCCTGATCATATTTACCCTTCTGTTACTCCCTTTTGTCTTCCCCATCTTTTTTTCCAATTTTAATGGATTGCATTGTGCTGTTTTCATACATGAATATAATGTACTTTGAGCATATTTATCCCCCACCCCCGTCACCCTCTTCCTTCTCCCTCCCCACTCCCTCTGGTTTCAGCCTCTACCCCACAGTCTCCTTTTTACATTCATGCCATTTATGTATGTATGTATTTATTTATTATAGGTCTAGATTCTGTATATGAGGGAAAACGTAAACCATTTTTCTGAGTCTGGCTTATTTCTCTTAACACATGATCTATACTTCCTTCCATTTTCCTGCAAGTGACATAATTTCATTCTTTTTCTTCAAGTGACATAGTTCTATAGGGCTGAATAATCCTCCACTGTGTATACCACATTTTCTTTATCCATTCGTGGGCATCTAGGCTGATTGTATAGCTTGGCTATTGTGAATAGTGCTGTTATAAATATGGGTGTGTAGGCTAGGTGCCAGTGGCTCACACCTGTAATCCTAATTACTTAGGAGGCTGAGGATTGGAAAGATCATGTTTCAAGACCAGTTGAAGCAAATGGTTTCAGACCCCTTCTCCAAAATAACCAGAACAAAATGGACTGGAGGTGTGGCTCAAGCGGTAAAGTACCTGCTTTGCAAGCACAAAGCCCTGAGTTCAAACCCCAATCTCACCAAAGGGGGTTAAAAAAACATGGGTGTGTATGTATCTGTATTGTATGCCTACTTACATTTCTTCAGATATATACCCAGGAGTGGTATAGAAGGATCATATCGTAGTTCTACTTACAGTTTTTTTAGGAAACTCCATACTGATTTCCATAGTGGCTGTACTAATTTGCATTTCCACCAACATTGAATAAGGGTTGTGTTGTCCTTGGATTTGCATTTCTTTTATGGCTTAAGGAAGTTGAACATTTGTTCATACGTTTATTGGTCATTTGTACTTCTTTTGAGAACTGTCCAATTCAGTTCCCCATTTATTAATTGGGCTATTTGCTCTTTTGGTGTTTAATCTTTTTTTTTTTTGGCAGTACTGGGGTTTGAACTCAGGGTCTCATGCTTGCTAGGCAGGCACTGTACACTTGAGCCATTTCACCAGATCTGTTTTTTGTGTTGGGTATTTTCGAGATAGGGTTTTGTGAACTGTTTGCCAGGGATGGCCTTGAACCGCAGTCCTCCCAATCTCAGCCTCTCAAGTAGCTAGAATTATAGGCATGAGCCACCAGTGCCCAGATGGTGTTTAATTTTTTGAGCTCTTTATATATTGTGGATATTAATCCCTTATTAGAAGAATAGCTGGCAAAGATTTTCTCCCATTCCATGGGCTGTCTCATGATTCTGATAATTTTTCCTTTGCTGTACAGACGCATTTTAATTTGATACAATTCCATTTGTCTATTTTTGCTCTTGTTTCCTGAACTATTGGAGTCCTATTCAGAAAATCTTTGCCTCATTACCTGTGCTTATTTCTTCAAGCATTTTCCCATAGTAGTTTCAAAGTTTTCAGTCTTAGATTAAGTTCTTTGATCTATTTTGAATTGATTTTTCTACAGGGTGGAAGATAGGGATCTAGTTTCAGTCTTCTACATGTGGATATTCAGTTTTCCTCACACTATTTGTTGAAGAAGCTATCTTTTCTCCAATGGATGTTTTTGGCCCCTTTGTCAAAAATCAGATGGCTGTAGCTGCATGGGTTTATTTCTGGCTCTTCTGTTCTATTGGTCTACCTGTCTGTTTTTGTATCAGTACCATCCTGTTTTGTTATGACTTTGTGGTATAATTTGAAGTCAGGCATTGTGATATCTCCAGCATTTCTCAGAATTGCTTTTTTGGGGTTCTTTTCTACTTTTTTTTTCTGTAATGGGATTTGAACTCAGGGCTTCATACTTGCTAGGCAGGCACTGTAATTTACCACTTGAGCCACTCCACAAGCCCTCTTTTGTGCATCTTCATGAATTTGGTTTTTTTCTATTTCTGTGAAGAATGTCACAGGAATTTTGACAGATTGTATTGATTCTGTAGATAGCTAGCCATTTTCACAATAGTAATTCTACTGATCCATGAACATGGGAAGTCTTTCTATCTTCTAGTGTCTTCAGATTCTTTCTTCATTGTTGTATAGTTTTCATCTCCTTAGATAAGTTTATTACTAAATACTTTTGAAGCTGTTGTCAATGGGATTGTTTTCCTGATTTCTTTCTCAGCCTGTTTGTTATTGGCATATAGAAATGCTACTGATTTTTGTGTTTGATTTTGTGTATTACCACTTCGCCAAGTGTTTATCAGATCTGAGTTTCCTGGTGAAGTCTTTAGGGTCTTTTAAGTATAGGATTATATCATCTACATGGGAATAATTTGACTTCTTCCTTTCCTATTCATATGTCTTTTGCTTCCTTCTCTTCCATTATTGCTCAGGCTAGAAGTCAAACACTACACTGAGTAATAGTGAAGGGAGTGGACACCCTGTCTTATTCCTGATTAGGTTTGTCATATATACCCTTGATTATGTTAAGGTATGTTCTTTCTACTCCTTCAACACTTTTATTGTGAAGGGATGTTGAATTTTGTGAAAGCCTTTTTCTGAATCTATTGAGATGATCATGTGATTTTTTCCCTTTAATTTTATTTATGTGCTATACTACATTTATTGATTTGCATATGTTCAACCATCCTTGCATCCCTAGAATGAAACCAACTTGATCAAGTGTATGATCTCTTTAGTGTGTTGTTGAATTTGGTTTGCAAGTATTTTACTGAGAATTTTGGTCTATGTTCATCAGGGAAAGTGATCTATAATTTTCCTTTTTTATTGTGTCTTTATCTGGTTTTGGTATCAGGGTAATACTGGCTTTGTAGAATAAGTTTGGTAGCATTCCTTCCCTTTCTATTTATGGAATAGTTTGGGGAAACACTGGTGTTAGCTCTTCTTTAAAGGTCTGGTAGAATTTAGCATTGAATCCTTCTGGTCCTGGGCTTTTCTTTGTTGGGAGTATATTGATTTAATCTCATTGCTTATTATAAATCTGTTTTAAGTTGTTTATATCCTTTTTTGTTCATATTAGGTCATATTAGTATAAATTTATTTCTTTTGCATTTTTCAGTTTATTGATGTATATATTTTCAAAGTATTCCCTAATAATTCTCTGAATTTCATTGGTATTTATTGTTATATCCCTTTTTTATGTCTAATTTTATTAATTTAGGTCTTTCTTTTATTCATCTGGTTTGTCAATCTTGTTTAACTTTTCAAAGAACCAATTCTTTGTTTCCTTGCTCCTTTATATATTTTTTTTAGTCCCCATTTTATTAATTGATGCCTTGGTCATTATTATTTCTTTCCATCTACTAATTTTGGGCTTAGCTTATTCTTGTTTTTATAAAACCTTGAGGTGTATCATTAGGTTATTTATTTAAGACCTCTCTGATTTCTTTTCAGAGGTACTCATAGCTATAAACTTTCCTCTTAGCACTGCCTTTGCTGTGTCCCAAAGGTTCTGATAAGTTTTTTTTTATTTTCATTTGATTCCAGAAGTTTTTTTGTAAATTTTCTTACTGGTTTCTTCAGTGATCCACTGATCATTTGAAAGTGTTTTGTTCAGTCCATGTTTGTATAATTTCTGTAGTTTCTCTTGTTCTTAATTTCTAATTTTATTCCATTATGATCAGTTAAGATACAGGAAATTATTTCCTTTTTCTGTATTTGTTAAGACTTGCTTTATGGCCTAAAATGTTGTCAATTTTGGAGAAAGTTCTGTAGGCTGCTGAGAAGAATGTGTATGCGACAGCCTTAAGATGGAATACTAGGGTTTTTTAAATTTCTTACAGAATATGGATACATAAAGTGTAGGTTGATTTTGGAGAGGTGGGTTGGGATGATCTGTCTATTAATGAGAGTATTGATTATTGCATCTGGACCTTATCTGTCCCTTTATGTATAGTAGTGTTTGCCTTATGAAATTGAGTACATCAATGTTTAGTGCATATATAATTGTTATATCTTCTGGATGGGTTGTTCCCTCTGTTGATACATACTGACCGTCTTTATCCTTCCAGCTAATTTTGACTTGAAGTCTACTTTGCCAAATATGAGTACAGCTACTCCTGTTTGCTCTTGATTTCTGCTTGTGTGGTATATCATAGTTTCCTTCCTTTCACTTTCAATCTGTGTATCTCCACCTTTGAGATGTATTTTGGGTAGGCAAGAAATAATTGGATATTGTGTTTTAATCCAGTCTGCTAGTCTATATCTTTTGATTGAAGAGTTGAGACCATTCATGTTTAGTCTCATTATTGAGAGGTATTTTCTGATTCTTGTGGTCTTGTTTTCTTTTAGGTTGATTTATTTTTTTTCTTTTATCCTTATTAATCTCAGGATTTTGCTAGTTTGCTGAATTGAACATGTTGATTCTCCTAATTCTCATGTGCTCAGCTACCAAGTTTAGTTTTCTTTTTCCAAGTTTAATTTTCACAGCAGATTTTTATTGAATCCCAGCATCTGTCCTTGAAAGATCCTGTTTTGTTTGTTTTGTTTTTGCATGTGTATATGTATGTGATAATAAAGTTGATTAAGAACAGTAAAGTTTATTAGACTAGAGAGGCACTTTCAGAGGTGAAAGTGGGTTGTTTCAGAAAGAGAAGTCAAGAACAACCATAGACCCTGTTTTTTACACTTTTGGATAATTGTTGAAACTCTGTAGTGGAGTTCAGTGATAACCATTTACAAAGAGAGGTCTTGGGGATGTTGAATATACTAATCCATTGAATATATAACAGAATCCCAAGACTGATGGGTACTCTGCCCTGTGAGCAAGGAAAAGAAAATGTTACATGAAGGCCTTTCTGCCCATGCCTGATAGGGCTGATCAAGGTCAATGTAAAAGGCCCCTGACCTGGCTAATACTCAGGACACTGGGAAATCTTCTGCATTACATCATTAGAGGCTTTGAGAAGTTTAGACTGCATCTCAGGGCAGTGGGGAGTCACAAAAGGTTGTAATCTGAGGCTAGAGGGGAAGGCAGGGAAACCATCAAGGAGGGGCTGCCATGATGTAGGGAACCCAGTGAAGGCTGAGCTTGAGGAAGTAAAGGAAGACTGGAAAGATTGTGCAATAAGGATGTTTTTGTGAGAGTGTCATTTTCATACATGTTCTAACCCTTAGGGTCCCTCTGCCTCTGGTGTCCCCTAATAGGAAAGAAGGGTGTGGTGAAGTGGGCAAAAGCCTGGAGCTCCCTGGTGTCCAGGAAGATGAGGCTGCATCCTGAGCCCCTGCATGTGCCCAGGGCCGCCGGAAGCATGTTCATCCTGTACCTCCAGAGGCCCACCGCCCTCATGCGACAGCTGCCCCTGCAGGTAGGGGGCTGGGAAGAACTACAGCCCCTCCCTGGTCTCTTCCCCCATCGTACTGCATGACCTGCACGCAGGCACATCCAGGGACAAGATTGGAATGAGTGTCATCTGGGGCTGGAGGGGTAGGGCTCCCAAGAGACCTTTCTTCTGGTCCTGGCTCTTGCTGGCCTGACTTATCCTGTGGGGAAGCCAGGAGTCTATGGGACCTCAGAAACCTTACCTGCCTGGCTGGCAACGTCTAGGGAAGGAAGTAGGAGACCAAGATGGCAGGTGGGAAGGCCTGGCTTACTACATTCAGAAACTTCCACAGGACTGGGCAGACCTGGCTGAGCTGCCATACCACACGGCACTCTCTGCATTGGGTGTGGAGTTGCCTGAGCTCCTGTCTACTCAAAATGCTGTCATAAGGCTCTAATCTCTGACTTATGCCTGGGCCCCAGGGAGAGGGCCAGTATTGAAGAATTCAGATTCCTTTTTTGTTATCTTTTATTTTTGTTTTTAATGTGGGAGCTGGAAGGGAGAAGCTGTACTGGGGAACATAATATGAACCTTCCTACAGCTGTGAGTAGTTCCCAGCACTCCTGCCATTATTTGGCAGCCACGTGGACTGGACTGACCTTCCTGGATTGTGTTTTGTGCATGACACCACCCAGAAAATGGACTGAACGGAATCAAGCTGGAGCCCAGGCCTGAACCAGGAGCAGCACACCTCCCCCCTGCTCACCTCAATCCCTCACGCATGGCTTTCTAGAACTGAGGCTACAGAAGAGATATCGGGGGTGACATTGGCTAGGGCCATGGACTCACAGCTGTGTCCTTGCATATATTAAGTAACTGGAATCTTCTGATGCTACACTGGCTTACCTGCCACCTTCTTAGGATAAAAGATGAACTGTCCAGATGGGAGGCCTTGATAGACAAGGGGCCCTGCATGATGTATACACTGGTAGGCAGGCAGCCTCTCTGCCAACGGCCTCACTCCCAGGACAGTGGACAGTCAGCCTGCTCACAGTGGGAGAGGGATGTGTGTATGGACACCCCCTTCCTAGCAGGCTTCATCTTCTCTCTGGGATAGGTGACTGGTTGGCCAGCCAGCATGATGTTTACTGACCAAATGCTCTCAGAGGTCGATCTTCAAAGGGAGATACAACAAGACTCTGCTACTGCCTCTGAAAACATTGGCCACACAGGGATTTCGGCTGTCTTCATGGGTTTCATATTGTTGGAGGGCTTGTTTGGAGAAGGAGAGGGAGACTGGGCTAGAGAGGGGCCCAACACTACATCCTGTTGTGTCTCTGTGCCTATGGGTGTATATCGCGCCTCCACACAGCACACTCGCATGTCTTGCACCAGTACCTGCATCAGTAATACAGTTTCCATGTCTATTTAAGGCTAGGAGCAGAATGTGGCCCAATGTTAGTGGCCCTCCTTTTCTCCCCAGTTCCTCTGCACTAAGGCAGCCAGTGTGACCCAGGGCTTAAAAAATAATTCAGTACTATCTTTAAGAACACTTTTATAGAGTTAATGGGAGACAAGTTAAAAGCCAATCACTGATCAGCAAGGTTTTCTTGAGTGTCTGTGCTGCTACCTAGAGGGCCAGGGTTTCGGGAGCTTCAAGGAGTGAACCCGCCCTTGAGAGAAGCAGAGGTGGGTGGCTGGTTTCTGGCAGAGCCAGGATGAGGTGCTCATGCCATTGCTGAGAGTTTTGGTTGGCATTATTGATTTTGAATGTAGCACAAGTGATGAATAAACTCCATAAGAGTGTTTAAAAATTAACTTCCCAGGAAGTGAGTTAAAAACAATAAAAATCCTTTCTTGAGTTAAAAAAAAAAAGGCTTTGTGTGTATATTTTCTGCATCTGGATGTGCTTTCTTTCTCATGGGCTGAACCAGCTGGTTTGGCTCACTTTTTTGGAAGGGTCTGAGGTATTCTGAGTCTCTAAGCAGCACAGTAGTGCAAGATGCTAAGGGAGGTGAGATGCACAGAAGGAGAGAGAGCTCAGGAGGCTAAGGGGGCCTCCCTCCCAGATGCACTAAGGCAGCTCAGGCTCCTGTGTAGATCTTATGGCCCCTGCTTGGGGAGAATTAGGTGTTTGGGAGCCTGTGGGCTGCCTATTGGTGCAGTCTGAGGTCTGGTCTAGGCAGAAGCCTCGCAGGAGTCCCTGGGGCACAAGCCCAGTGTCCCCCCCCATGCCTCTCTAGCCTCAGGCACTGATACCTTCCCCATAGTAGGGCCCTCCAGGCAAGCCATCATTGAGGTCAGATAGCCTTAAGTTTGAAACCAAACTTTGTTACTTAATAACTACTACCTTTGGCAAGTCATTGGAGGAGCCTCAGTTTCCTTATTGCTGTAATATAAGTAACACTGGCACCTCCTTTGTGGGGTTCTTGTGACGGTAAATGAAGTCCTTGCATTTGGCACACGGTAAGTACTTAGCAAATGAGACCCTTACAAGGAAAGCATGGAGGCCAGGGGCTCAGCACAACCTCTGTGATTGCTGTTTGTCCAGCTGTGAGCTTCCAGCTGGGTGAAGCTAGTGACTGGCTAGGGAGACTAAGCTAGAGGCTGCCCAGTGTGGTGGTCAGTTTTTCTACCAGTGGAGACCATGCTGCCCCTGCCTGCTTCCTGGTCATCCTGCTATGTTCCTGTGAGGGGCTGCACTAAGCCCTCCCTAGACGGACATCTGGGAAAGTCAGAAATGAAGACTACCACCACTCCAGACCTCACTATAGGGAAGCTGAGCCTGATGACTGAGGTTCCTTTCAGAGAACATGTTTGTGCTCTGGATCCCACAGGCCCTTTTGCCTGACCTCTGATCCCTTAACCCACCTCAGCCTATGGGGTAGCCTGAGCTGGGGGAGGGAAAGGTGGTCAGAACCACTAAGGGTTCCAGTTTTCCCAGGAGAACTTATATAAACACCTCTCAAGCTACAGGGTCACCTCCATCATACACAGGCAGATAAATTCTCACGGCTTCCCTTGGGCAGACAGCAGGCCAGTCTACTGGACCACCCCTCCCCCTACAGGGAGCCATGTGGGGGGGTGTGCTGGCCCCTGAGGAGAGCAGGAAGTCAGGAGAGGACCTTGTCTTCCACCTCACTGCAGAACAGATCCCTGACTTGTGAAGACTCCCTGTACCACTCCAGCTGGCCAGGTCTTGGAGGGTGTCTGTGCCACTCAATTCCAGACTTAAATGGCCATCCCTCCTCTGTTACCCTTCCCCATACACACATGCACTCAGCTGTTCCTCCTGGGGCCTTGGACACATCCAGTTCTCCAGCTGGGACGACCTGAAGACAAAGCTTGGGTTCTCCCATTCTCTAGGCAACTGCCTGTCCCCACCCAACTTGTGCTGACCAATTTGTCATCAGTCCATGCTGGCTTTGTGCTCAGCCTCTCTACCTTCCCCATTGCCTAGGTCCCCACCATTTCCAAATCACCTCTCCAAGAAATCTTCCCTGTTTCACAGCCCCAGAGACACTCTTGGCATATGGACTGGTGCCTGGGCTATCTCTCACAAGATTGGGACCAACATCCTGAAATTGCCACCACCCCACCAACTGAGCCACCTTCACAACTTACACCTGCCCACTCATCATGTCACCACACTGAAGACCACTCAAAGACCATCTCTCTGTTGAATCATAAGAATGGGGCCTTCCTTTGGGAAAATAGTTCTTTCTATCTGATCCCAATAAGCTCCTTTTCTGGCCTGTTCACCCTGGCCTCTTCTGGTCCTCAGTGTCCTGCTCGTCGGTCTACAAACCAACTTGGGCCTTTCTTTTATATGTGAACCAAATTTCTGTTCACCTTGATTTCTGAAGGTGGATATTTCCACACTCCAGTGTAGTGTTCTTGCCCAGATGCCTTCTGTATGGGCTTACTCTGACCCATCCTCAGCAGGCCATGGTCCATGTAGCATCGTGGCTGATGCTTTCTGCATTTTGACCACAAGTCTTGGTCCCTCAAAGACTCCCACTAAGCTCATCCATGGCTTTGCACAGGTCTACACTGAAGGAATGGAATCAGCTCAACAGGGAACTGAGAGGCAGCAGGGCACTGGTTAAACTTCTCCCTTCTCCCACAGGGTCCAGGAGGGCCTGTGGCTAAGGATTGGAGCTTTCACAGGGAGAGGATCCCCTTTGCTCTCAGGTGCTCTTCCTTCTCCTTTAGGCAATCTGTGCCAATATCCACTTCCCTGGGTACTCCACCCCAATGCTGAGAAAGGGCTCAGAGAAAGGGCCTGCCTGCTTCCCCCAACCCCCATTTCAGTCTGAAGCAGAAGATCTCAGCTTGGTAATAAGCTAGAATCTCCCTGGGCATTTTAGAAAAGTCCTGATGCTTGGGCATCCCCCTCAGAGACCCTGATCCAAGTGGTCTAGGACATAATTTGGATGTCATAATTTTTTCTAATTAATAGACTTTACTTTTTTTCCAAGATGTTTGAGGATTATAAAAAAAATGAGTAGAAATGTAGTCCTTATATTCCCCTCAGTCTTTGCCTCCACATTTCCCTATTATTACCATCTTGCATTAGTGTGTACATTTGTTACAATCGATGAACTAATATTTACACTTCTTTTTGGTGGTGGTACTGGAATTTGAACTCAGGGCCTTATGTTTGTCAGGCAGGCACCCAGCCCTATATATTATTGTAAACTAAAGTTCAGAGTTTAAATTAGAGTTCACACTTTGGGTTTATATTCTTGGGCTTTGAAAAATGTATAAAGACATGTATCCACCACTATATTATTTTATATAGAATACTTTCACTGCCCTAATAATCCCTGTGCTCCACTTATTCATTCCCTTCTGCTCCTTGTAACAACTACTGATCTGTTTATTGTCTCCACAGATTTGCCATTTCCAAAATGTCATGTAGTCTGAATTCTACATTATGTAACTTTTGGAGTTTTCCTGGTAATTTTAGTGAACAGCAAGAGTTGAAAAGAATAGATCTGATGTAGAATTTGGTAAAGAGGGGTGGTAGATCTGGTATTCCATATTCCCAAATTTAGTGTGGGCAGAGGTCTTGTTTCCTTTGATATATCCATCCACCATTTCTTTCAATATTTGTCCAAGGCCCTCTGTAACCAGGCACTGAGTTAGACACTAAAGCAGTTCCTGCTCCCAAGGCTCTCACAGTCCATAGCAGGAGAGAGACACATGCATAGATGATTTTGAATTGATATAAACACCTCATAGGAAAGGCTCATGGATGAAGAGAGACTAGTACAACATGGAGCTGGAGGGAGGGAGGGGGCTGGATAATGTGTGCTGAGAAGATCACTCTGGCTGCAGTGCAGCAGAGGGATGTGAGTAGAAGAACCAATGAGCCTCTGCGGTATCCAGACAAGACATGATATGATGGTGGCCAGGGTGGAAGGAAGCCAAGGAGTAGTAGCTGAGGGAATGGAAAGAAGCAGATGGATGTGATAGATTTGCAGGAGGCTAGACTGCTGGACTGAGAAGACTGTTTGGCCTGGCTGTGGGGATGAGAGGAAGCCTTTAAAGGTGGTGCTGGGCTTCCAGGCTAGACCACCTGGATTAAATATGTGCTGTTCAGAGAGGTAGGGAACAGAGGAATGGATGCAGCAGGTTGAGTCTGAGGTGCCTTGAAACATTCAAGGGGAGATGTCTAGTAAGCAGCTAGACATGAGATGCTGAAGCTCAGAGGACAGGGTCTCAGGGTATGGATGGCAGTGGAGTCGGAGGCCTTGGGTGTGATGAGATGGCTTAGGAGTGAACATGGAGTGAGAAGAAGGAGGACCCAGGGCACAGTTCTGATGGAGTGTTAGTGTTGGTGAAGGAGAGGAACTACAAAGTCGCTGGAGTTGAGCCCTGGGAGGTAAAAGACAATCGAGTGCAACATTATTACCCAGAGTGCATATGGTTTCAAGAACTAGCAAAGGGCCATCAGAGTTCCTGATGCTGAGTGGTCAAGGGAAAAAGGGAAAATAGAGAAAGTGAGGGAAGAGGCCTTCAAGAATTTAGCTACATAGAGTATGGGAGACAGAGACATAACTTCTCCACTAGTGCCAGCTGCCTGGTGGCCTTTTCTTTAACTGTGGAAATACTTCTCTAACTAGTGACCTTCATGTGTTCCAAGGATGGATGTAAATTGGAGGGTACAGAGTGTGAGGACTTAAAACTGCAATGAAGAACATCTGTGCTTTATCAGTGGGGTATTATCCAGGAAAGTAGATCACAGTACCCCTCCTCAGACAGCATCCAATTTCACCTTAGGAGCTTCTATCACGTTCTAATGGCTTTGTCCTTTGTTATCCCAGAAAATGGAGGCTTCCGTTATTTTTATTCCCCTTCTCCCTAGATGGAAAGGGAGGGGAAAAGGAGGGGAAAGTAGTTAATTAAGTTAAAGAAAAAAAGGAACCTTTTAGAAGATCCTGGTAAATATCCTCCTACCCCCAACATTCACTTCACATCCTTCTCAAAAGAGTTGTCCACACTGC